CGTCATTCATCGCCATGTCGGCCAGGACCTCAATCGCCAGTTGAAGTGAGCAGCGGAGCGGTGCTCGACCTGTAGAGGGATATCGTCTCGATGCTGGCGACGGCGATGACGAACTGGGTGTTGCCGAGACGATCCCCGGGTCCGGGAGGCGTGTTGACGTTGCGAACGGCAAAAGAGGCGGCGCGCGTCATGAAGCGCGGCAGCTTTGCCGACACGGCCAGACGGCCCTCCTCAATGTCCCCAGACGGCAGGCGAATGCCGTTAAGGCAGACGCCCGAGTTCCGCGGCAGGTTCGACAGCGCCATGACGAAGACGGGGGAGATGTAGCGGATGGCCCTGAAGCTGGGCTGAATACCTGTGCCGTCCTCGGGCATACTGTAGGCCAGATCAGGGCCCGTGACATCGTCCTTGGTGACGTTGATGACGAATAGTTCGCGCTCGTCGCAGTATGCCACCTGGAAGCTGTCGTCGCCCGTCTGGATGACGTCAAGGTCGGTGGCCTCGCGCGAAATGTCCAGAACACCCCTAGACTTGGGCGCCTGGCCCAGCGTCACCTCAAAGATGACAATCTGGGACCGCTTGGCGAAGCCCGTCGCCACAGCGCCGACCTGCTTCTGGCCGGGGCGTTCTGGGTTGGGCGGGCTCACGCGCAGCAGGCGCTGGTACGTCTCCTTGTCGCCCTCGCCATGCTGGAAAAGCGCCGTCCGCGACAGCTCGTTCAGGACGGCCGTGTGGGCCGTCTTTTCAGACTTGCTGCTGGAGGGCGCCATGGAGAAGACGCGAAAGTGTTCGTTCTTGCCCTTCTCGAGCTCGGCCGTGCTCGAGTTGATGCCGGCGTAGACAAAGGTGGGGGCCTTGTTGCTGCCGCCGGGCTTCTTCTGGCCGATGGCGATGGTGTTGACGGCATCTTCGTCGCGGCTGAGGTCGGCTTCGGCAGCGATGCGCGGGTTCTCGGCGAAGGGCGCGTCAACGGCTGTCTTGGTGGAGGGTCAGCCTATTTCTGTATGCGGCGCAGAAGTCGAGGAGGAAGTGGTGGGCCATGGACTCACTATCCTGTTGGGAACACCGCTCCGGTTGGCGCCGCCGCCGCCGCTCACAAGCAGACGGGTCGCATCTTGGGGATCAAAGTCGCAGGCGAAAGGAGGGTAGCCGAGGGCCAGCCTTGTGACAGGCAGAGTGGGCGCCATGGCAGGCTGGCTATTTGGTGGGGATTTGGGGCTGCGCAAAGAGAGGCGCAGGTTCGAGACACTTGCCGTCGCAGTATCGTGGTTTTCGGACGGCAGAGACACAGGTGACGGAATATGCCTCTTCTCAGGCTGTCGACGAGGGGTCTTTGAGCTGAGGTGCTGAAGTGCAGGTGCGAGGTGCGAGATGCTGAGCGGGCGTGTGGCGATGATGAGGTCTTGAGGGTCCTCGGCCTCTGGGGAAGTCGCAAAGGACAGACAGACCTTCCTTCCGTTTTTCACGCCAGATCCGTTCCTGCCTAGCCCCTCCATCCTGGTCCGGCCCGATTGACGGCGCTAGACCAAACATGGCATCGTACATGGCCCGCATGGGTCGAGCTTTCCCCAACTTTTCTCCAACCGTTCGCTTGGGTCCGCCGAGCCCCAGCTTTTTCCACTGCATATCGAGTTCTCGACCGGGCCTTCTGCGTGCGCTCACTTGCACCTGCACTCAGCGCCGGGCCTTTTCCTGTCAGGTGCAGCCGCGGCGCCAGGGGTCCTTCCGACCCGGGGGTAGGGGGGAGAGCCTTTCCCTCGTGGCTTGTCGAGACATGTTCACTTGCAGTCTGTCGGTCGTGGGCAGGTGAGGCAAGGTAGGCAGGTTGGTAAGCATGTTGAAGTTTCGAGTGTATTCTATGGTTCATAACCACCCCTTTCCGCCTCCTCAGGTTTGGGCTGAAGGACTACCCGATATTATCTTCCCGCACCGACGACCCTATCGTCCAATGTCCCAGATTTTGCGCCTCCCATCTCCCAGCACCCGGTCACCAACCTAACCCATCTGTCCGTTCCGAGAGCCGAGCACGCATCAAAATCTCGCCTCAAAGATCTCCGCCGGCGTCACGTCCTCCCAGTGGACACCGTCCAACGTGATCCGCCCAATGTTGCCCAGGTAATTCGAGTCGAGCGGCCTGATCACCCGGCCGTCCCAGCCCATGCTAGAGGAGCTGCTTGCCGAACCGTCACGGCTCCCCTGCACGTGCCGCAAGAGCCGTTGCTGCGAGGCAACTTGGTGCTGCTGCTGCTGCTGCTGCTGCTGCTGTCGCTGTTGATTTTGCACCTCGCCGATGTTCGGTGCAGACGCCGACTGGCTGATGCGCGTGCCGTTGCTCATGCTCCGCCCGGCAAGGTTCCAAGGCGCCGCCCGGCCCCCCGCGCTGCAGCGTCCACCGACGCAGGGCGCTCCGCCTCGACGCAGTCGTGGCACGGCTCGCGCAGGCTCGTCCTCCAGGACCCGTCGACGGCCGCGCGCGTGACGCAGTCGTAGAGCTCCCACCTGGACGGGTGGGCGGGGATGCGGCGGCAGCGGTAGACGACGCACTCGAGGTGGCCGCAGCTGTAGCTGTAGTAGACCGTCTGGCACATGCTGCCTGCGGGGTGCCCTTGTGGTAGCTTGCAGACGGACGAGTCCAGAGATTGTGTTGGGAAAAAAACAGAATAGACAGGACTCCCAGGATGGGGACCTCCTCGAAGCGTGAAATGAATCTAGGCAGGAGCTTGCGAGCACATGACAAATCTAGGTCGTTTCTCGAATGAATGTGTAAATGGTATAGTTCGGCTGCTTCTCCGTCTCTCTCGGTGACATCGACTTCTTCGTAGGACCGGGTTGTGGTGATGACGTTGGTAAAAATCTGAAATATGTAGGGAGTGTGTACAGAGGCCCGCTGGTCTCTAGGTGAACGACAGGAAAGGGCCATCAATCAGCACCATCAGTGAGCTCGGTCGAGGTCGAGGTGGTCGAGGTATATTAGTTGGTGGAGGAAAGAAAGCCGACTCGAATCTCGGGCAGCCCAAGGTATTTCTACGCTCGGTGGAGTTGACGGAAGAGGGGTGAAGAAGAGAGCCTTGAAAGGCCAGCTCCTACAACTACCTTATTCAAGAGTTGCAGCCCTGCATCCTGGGTCTTCCATTCAACAGGCAAGCGCGGAGAATGTACGTCCCTTGGCCGTTTGATCCTGCCAGTAGGGGGGGGAATGGTTCCGCGAGCTGAGGCCAACGTCAACACGTGAGAGCTGAGGCCATGTTCGGTAAACCACAACCTTTGTAGAGCACGAGTACAAAGGCAGCACGAACTGGTAACAAATAATGCCATGTTTGTTTTAATTCACCTCGCCCCCAAGGCCCAACAACGCACGACTCCATTCACTCGCCCAGCCGCCGCGTCGTTGCCATCGCCCCCGCCCCCGTCCCCTAATCCACCAGAATCTTCTCCTCGAGCTCGCCGTACCGTTCGTAGAAGCTCTCAAACAGCCTCACCGCAAACTCGACGTCCTTGCTGCCTCCTGTCTCCCGGATCGAGTGCATGCTGAGCTGCGGGTTGCCCAGGTCGAGGGTCCGGACGCCGAGCTTGGCGCTGAGCATGGGGCCGATGGTGCTGCCGCAGGGCGAGTCGTTGCGCACGACAAACAGCTGCAGCGGCACGCCGGCGTGGCGCGCGCTCTCCTGCAGCAGCACGATGCCGGGCGAGTTGGTCGCGTACCGCTGGTTGGCGTTGATCTTGATGACGGTGCCGCCGTTCATGGCCGGCTGGTGCGACGCCTCGTACTTGCCCGCGTAGTTGGGGTGCACCGAGTGCGCCATGTCCGCCGACACGAGGAACGACCGGCTGAGCGTCTGCTCGTAGGCCGTCGACTGGATGCTCTCCTCGAGGTGCGGCAGGGCGTCGTTGACAGAGTCGTACGACGCGTCGGACGCCGTGTCGCTGCGGCCCGCGGGGAGCACCGACAGTCGCCGGAGGATGGCCGGCAGGAGGTTCGAGTTGGCGCCCTGCGCAGACGTCGAGCCGATCTCCTCGTGGTCGAAGCAGGTCACCAGCCGGATGGTGTGGTCCTCGTCGAGGGCGGCCGAGTCGCGGAGCGACGTGATGAGGCCCATGATGGAGCAGTACGTCATGCCGAGGTTGTCGAGACGCGGGGAGAAGACAAACTCGTCGTTGAGACCGCCGAGGCAAGCGGGCTGCGTGTCGTAGAGCACGAGCTCAAAGTCCACAACGTTGAGGACGTCGACCTCGGCGTGCGACGCGATGACGTCGATTATGTGCGGGTGGTGGCGCTCCGTCAGGTCCCTGAGGGGCTTGAAGTCCTCTTCCGCCTCTTCATTGCCCTCCACTTGTGTCTCTGAAGCGCTCTTGTTCAGCTCTGCCGACGCCAGACCGGCAATGGGGAACAGCTCGACCTCCTTGTTGGGGTCGAAGCTCGAGCTCCGGTCAAGGTGGATGGCCAGTGTCGGGATACGCAGGAGGGGCTTGTCGACCTTGATGAGCTTCTGTGTGAAGGTGCCGGTGGAGTCCTTGACAAGCACCCGGCCAGCAATGCTGAGATCGCGGTCGAACCAGCTATGCCAGATGCCTCCACCGTACGTCTCGACGCCGACCTGGAGGAAGCCGTTGTTGCCCTTCTTCGAAACAGGCTTGATGCGGAGGCAGGGCGAGTCGGTATGCGCGCCGATCATGCCGACGGGGTTGCCGGGACGCCATTTCTTACCAATCGCAAAGGCGACGATCGAGGAGCCGTTGCGGGTCAGGTAGTATTTGCCGCCGGGTCGGAGGGTCGACGCCCAAGAGTCTCGCTCCTTGATCTTGCTGAAGCCGGCCTTCTCCAGGCGGGCAGCGGCGTTGGCGCAGGCGTGGTATGCTGTACTTCAGGCATCAGAGAGACGAAGGGCAGACAAAACGCGCTTGTCCAGGTAGACTCACGGGTGGGAGAGGCGTTGACAAAGTCGATGAAGTCGAGGGCAGTCTTATCGGGAGCCATGATGACAGCTGAGGTCGAAAACCGGGCGCGGGCTTTGATGGTTGATGTCGGTCGCGGGACTAAGAAGGCTGGAGCTTTGAATGCGTTGTTGCTGCAAGACACGAGACGTCCTGACAGCATTGGCGTGGATCGAAAATGGCAAAGGGCAACGGAGATGCGGCGGCCATGAATGATCTGTGGTGATCACGAGGGGAAGTCAACATGCAAGCTTATCGTTATCAGTCAAACTGCGGTTGGGTAGTTGTAGCGCACCGAAGACATCACGGGCTGTAGGCTTTTGCGTGTGACTATAGATGATGGGTTGGATAGCTCAGCAACGCGTGCTTCGGACGTCCTTTCTGGAAAGACCCTCCTCATGTTTGAAAGAATTCTTGCTTTGGAATCATTTATCTATCAATTCCTGTGGCCATTGGGGTCGCGCGGCATGGTGGCACCAAGCTCTTCCAATCGAGCCTCCCGTCGAGACAAGCCATGTGCGTCAGCTGTGCTACGTATATGCCATCGTCTGGTAGAGAGCATGGCTGGGTTGACATCATTGTGCCTGGATAATTCACAGCACCACTACCGCATACACAGGAAGAGCGAATCTTGGAATATATCGCGAGGCGTGCGAAAGGCTTCACTTGCATGGGAGAGCACCCTGCCAATCCTGCTGCAGCACAGCTAGTATGCCAAGGAGTTGCAACACTAGCAGTTCGTAGTTGAAACTGTAATTCCGTTGAAAGAGTGAACATATCGATTAAAGTTTGTATAGATGACCAGACTTGATTTCGACTTGCCATGGCTTGGTCCGTTGGTGAGTTGCTGTGACAGTTGAAATCCCACCCGAGCATATCTTGCCTGTTGTATGTGACTTCGGGGAACGTGTCTTGCATAGATATTGAATACACAGTATGAAGCAGCCGAATTTCTTGCTTCTGCGGCCCAATTGCAGGCCAATCCTGGAGTCAAAGGCAGCTTCTAGTCTCGAATTCGAATGTTTGATGACATGAGAAACCATACGAGCATACACATCAGCGTAAAAAAGACTTAAACATCTCCTGCGCATGTCTTGGATGAGGTGCTATCACCTCACGATACCAGACACTCTACATCAAGGCAGCTCGGTGGCTCGGTTTGTAACGGAAGACTCGCACTAGTGTCACAGAGGTCCCATTTCCTGAAGCGAATTAACGTCACATGGCGGCGAGCAACAGCACGAAATGTCACGATAGGTCGCAGACCGCACTCAAATATGCGGTGTTCTCGGAATTACGGACTTCATACATGCCCACGACGGTAAGAGTTCTTGACCAGCTCATGAGCCACTTCAGCCTTTGTTCCCGCCATCGTCGGAGTTGGGGCAGATCAGGTCATGCTCCTTGGCCAGGAATGACAAGGTGAGAACGCAGACGGCAGGTATCATTCACGAGCAACCTCTGCTTGAAGCATGTCCACGAACAAATCTGTGGAGTTGAGATCAGACTGGAGAAGTTAATGTAAAGTCTCAGCGGACACTAAATATACTCTGTACCATGGCTATTCACACAGATGACCCCTGGACATCCCGGTCGTGCAAGGTGTTGTTCAGCGCGCAAGAAACAGATACGGCCCTCCAATGTGCAAGGGTAATGGTCTGCAAAAACGCGCGGCAGCCACTGCCGGGTTTGACAAAGCCTCGAGTCACTCATATGCCTGCCTGGATGCACGGTTTCCAAAACACCATCTCAAATACCTCATCATGTGCTTGCTGTAGATGTTTCGCCATGGCGCGCCTCGTCTTCCACCAAATAGTCAGAGAATGCATGAGACATTCTCGGAGGCTTGTTCAACGGCCATCATGCCCTGGCCTACCTTGCCTATAATTTATGCTCGTATGTGTTTTTGTGATCATCTCACTATTGATCGACCCTAGCGCCTCCAGGGGGGGGGAGGGGGGACTCCTCTGCTCCTCAATGGTAGGCTGCTGGGTAGTACCACCAGATGGACGACGATATGAACCAGCGCCCTGAAAATACTACTGGGAGTAGCAGCGGGCACGCCTTGACCGTGAGGAAAAGTCAAAAGTGGCGGAGAAAAGAAAAGAAGCCTGCCATCATCGACATTCTGTGCACCATTCTCTTTCCTCGGGGCCCTTGGAGGAACAGTCGTACGAGAGGCCATTCCACATCGCCTTCATCACGCCATCCCTCAGCGGAAATCTTGCCATGACCGCACCAAAGAGGTCACGCGCCCAAGGCACCATCACGACAGCAATTAGCGTAGGGGGGATGAAAAAGCAGAACACGGTCCTCTTTTCAAATCCAACCGGACCCAAATCCAGCCAGACCGATTCAAAACCCCTCATGTCACAAGTTGGGAATTCGCCTCCCCCACCACAGGAAAGAAACACACATCTTCAAAGAGCAGAATGCTTCAGCAGCTGCCCTCTGTATTAAGTAAACCGCAAACGGCCAAGGGGGTTCAGCTTTGGGTGTGGAGAGGGGTTGTTTGCCTTGTCGGTTACCTTAGGTAGGTACCTACGCAGGTAGATACCTGGCAGCCAGCGACCAAACGGCCATCGATTGCCACCAAAAGCTGGCGTGGCGTCCTTGACACTCCAGCAGCCCGGCGGGGGAAGGGGAGGGGGAAAAGAAGGCTGCTCCAAGCCCCCCGGACGCAGATCCTAGGGGTCCAACAGTGCCCGGTTCATCAGCCACGCCGCGCCCCTCAACGTCAGATCGACCCTTTCAACCAACGCGCGCGCACACAGGTTCCTGCAGCTGAGGAGGACCTTGCATTGGGTGCCGGTGTGAGAGAGAAAGCCCCCTCCACCCCATCTTACCCCTTTCCCCCCCCCCCCTTC